AATTTAACACCTAATTAGAACTTCTGATAATCATATCTTAATTTCAATTAATTGAAAACTTTTACCTGAAACATTGATTAATACTTATCTTACCTATTTGGGAATGCTATAAGCAGAATATTAGATTAACCATTATCTTTTAAGTAGAGCGTTACTAATCTTGTTCAAGCCTATAGTTTTGATGGTCCACATAAACTCTTGACAGAGGGATTAATAAGCAACAAAAGCATTTTGTGGAAACATTTTGAATAATTTATATGGACCTCCTAACAATGCCATAATGGTAGCAAAATAAACAATTTGGTTTACTCGCAATTACTTTGAATAATTTAGTTATATTTGGCTATTTGTACCAGCCTTATGATTCTGGTTTCTCCCATTTCATGTTATGTTTTTGAACCGAAAAATATTCTGCTGGGAAGTTTCGAATGTAAGAAGTGAAATTGTGGCAAAACCTATCGCGGACCTCCAATGGATCGTCAGAGGACGCGCTTAAGTGAAAGCCTGTCCTAACAAGTTCACCACTAGTTGATAAGCTTGTATGACTCACTGGAACCCTTCATTGGTCTCTCCTCTATAAATATGCTCACACACAAGCAAAATGGTGGTTGAGTCCGCGCGTTGCGCCGCTCTCCCATGAACTTCTTTGTTTGTGTGTTGTAGTGTGGCCGATCGCTGCTACGAATAAAGTTAGTAATCATCCCTTCGCTATTATTTTATTAGTTGCTCTTGTGTGTCTTCATATACATTCATTTCCATAGGTAACACACCTAATAAAACTCATAAATTCCTACATGTTACAGATCAATGAGGAACCTAGACGAAATGCAGTATTACTACAGGTCTTAAATTACGACAGCTTAACCAAATTCGCTTAATTCAAGGCTCTTAAGCTTTTTAATTTTTATCATCATATCAAAGGTAAACTGAGATCTGCAGGTCACTGTTCTTTTTGCACATAATTATATCCACATTGGGGAATTTTTGTGAAAAAAGAAAAAATTACACTTTTTCAGTATCTGGGACTCGTAAGAAATGACTGCTATTTCCATAGGATTTTACTAGGTTTCCGTGATACGGAATCAAAAAATATCACTGACATTTTTAATTTACCGGAACAACAAAGGACTATAACTGAAGTTCAACGTTGAAATTCAACCAAAAAAATTAGCCTAGTCTGGTAATTTTTGGAATATTAGTTGAGCTGAATTGTATCCAGGTCTCAAAACCTAAACAACACGATAACCAACATTAAACCTATATCATCTGCTAATTCGAATGACACGACCTTTAAACGCCTCTGTGTATTTTATTATTAGAACCACGTGAATTAGAACTCATCGTCCGGTAATACTGCATGTCCTCGTAGGAGATGCAAAGATGCTAGAACAAGGGCTTATTTTTAGCTGAAAAAAGTTACCAGTGTAACGGGGTGTTTTGATGAAGCTGAAGGGTACAAATCGATGATTTCCCGTCGTAATAATATTAATTGTGATGCTAACAATGAATTTGGATTATGTTAATACTGATGGACAGTTTAGATAAACAGTCCAGCTTAACATCTAATGTAACAAATTTTCTGCTTAATACAATCGTTAGAAACATCAAAGTATTGAAAGGACGGTCGAAATGATTAATAGCCTTGTGTCATAGAAATATAAATGTATCCTTAAAAATATCATCTAATTTCCACTACTAAGCCTGGAAACAGCATTTCCATAACTTATGCTTTGATAACGAATTCTAATTATTCTTTACAGGCAAGATGGAAGTACTTTGTGGACTTAAAAATATAATGAATCCCAATGCATTTTACTTTTAAGTGATTCAGTCCTACATTAAAACCATGTTGTATTTCGAAATTATGAGTCCTGCGTTTTGTGAAATTCAACCGGCTGGAAAAGATTTATACTCCAATTAAAACCAAACATTAATTTGATCGATTGGTAAATGGAATTTAAGTAATTACTAAAAAAATTGGTTTTCCTAAAAAAAACATTAAACTTCTTTACAAAACAATAAGCTGAGAGATTGATTAGGAATTTTCTGTGTTCCTACTATTGTTCTGCTATTTTATAAAATTCCCCTGGTAAAATATATGATTTCCAGTAAATATTTTTGAATTACATAGATTTTAACATAAAGAAACCGCTGCTCTTCCTATTTTTCGTTTTGATTACAAGATGTTATGCTATCGTTGTGTCCAGCCTACTCAACCAATGACAAATCATGACAGATTCCTCATCAGTTCACATTTCTAATTATCGAAATATTGACGGATTTGACATTTAGGTCATTTTCAGAGACTTCTGCCTGACAATTTCTTTAAAGAATCATACATCTACAGTCATGGATTACTGAAGCCGAACAAACCTGCTCCACATTTGCTAACGTGGTTTCCCATTCATATTCCTTTTCCAATATCAAAAAGTTATTTTAGTAACACATTTAAATTGCTTATTTTAAAACACACTTGGCTGTGTGCATTTAAATAGTTCCAAGTAGGTAAATTCCTTAATGTAAATCGCAGGCGAACACGAAGTGAGCACGATAATTGAATATCTTAAAATGTAAAATGTCCAAAATGTCTCAGATATAAAATAACATAAACCTCAGCCAAAATAATCATGTAATAAAATTTTGCCTATGTTGTTCAAAAACGGTAAATTTCATGTCAGAAATGAAATGAGAAAACAAAAAAAAACTTTTGATGGTCAGATAACCTCACCTGCGGTAAATATGTTATAATATAAAGCACCGAGAGTCCAAACAAAATGTTGGTTGTCTGGTGAATGTTTCGGCTGTTTGAATCGTGGTCATGATGTCTTGCAGGCGAAATGCTCAGAGACTGCTCCTGTTGGCTAGATAAAAATCGCTGTTCCGTTTCACTCATTTCACTTTGAAGACGATCTCGTCTCTTCTGTGAGTGTAGCAGTTTGCGAATCAAAAGGGTGGAGAAAATTGTACTGAGAAGTATGGGCAGAACCTTCATAAAAACTCCTGTGCTTACAAGAAGCAGTGTGGTTAGTGCGTGGTTTGCTACAAAGTCCAGTTTAAATGCCTCGTATCCAATGGCTGGTTTCCCGCAGTCTTTCACAACATGGTGAGCAAATAAGAAAGGGGCTGCCAAAATAAGAGAGAGGAACACGTCTGTTAAAATTATGATTTTCGCTCTGGTATAACTGCAAGTTTGCAAGGCAGTCACCCCAGAGCTCATGAAAACAAGCCGAAAGGCAGCCACAAAAACTATCATCCAGGAGGAGAATGCATGGAATAGGTTTTGTACGTAGACTAAACCAAATAGGGTGTATGCGTAAGACTTTGTCATCCCTACCTCGATTTTTTTGCCTATGCGGAACATAGAGACATAGAAAATGTAGATGGCCATAACGGTGCCCTCTCCCACCGAGAGAGCTGCCATTAATAGATTTGTCGACGACCGCATCGGTGGTTGATTAAGGACTACAACGTTAGCTGAATTCGCGAAAACTCCACAAACACAAATAACTAGACTCAAGGGGATGTGGACTATGTCATATCCATGGGCGAAATAATCAAGGCCGACATAGTGAAATGAAGTACAATTGTATTTGACTGTCGGAGGGCAGGTAGTCATTGGTCCTGGGCATATGCAGATGCTGTTTTGCAGTGTCTCCATTTTGAAGAACTGCTAAAGACGCATGGATTGGCGCGCATCTGCTAACCAATCCGGCCACGGGAAGTCCACAGTGGTAGTTGGCGGATGCACACCTCATGTGAACTTTTTAAAAAAACATAAACAAAACAAACAGTCGGGGCATTTTATGTGTCATAATGGGTAATTCTTTCCTCATAACTAAAACAATGAGTTTTTCTTTCAAAATCTTTCCTTGCTCCATATTTTTTGCTAAAATTTAGCCATAGAAATTCTGTCTTAAATAAAGTTGAAAGTTGACCATATATTCCAATGATTAAGGCAGCTGAGTCTGAATCGCGGGGCTTAAGTTATTTTAATCAAACTTAACAAAAATTTTGGGCAAATGTAGTCACCAGCACTCACTGATTTACTGTTAAGCTGTTGTCAGTTCTGCCTTATATTCTAAGCAAAGATTACCTCGATTTAATTTGGAACTGAGTTCATATTCTCTAATTTTCAGACTAGTTACTTGATTTAGTTGATGCATCTTTTAAGTTTAGTACCTAAAAAGTAAACGTTGATCCCTTGTAAGTCATTTTAGGGTATCAAGTGAATTTAAAGCTTTGCGAAACAATTGACAACTTTTGCTTCTCAAAGTAATTCAAAACCTCAACTATTTGACGCGGGAAGTTTGTTTATTAACACTGGATTTTTGATCCCGTATTAGGCGCAAGTGGCTTGCAACTTGGCGTCATCATTGACAGGATTTTTACCGAGCAACTCACATCTCTCCTGGACCGGCATCATATGAATTTTTTTATAAATTTCATTATAAGTCACATCAATAGGTTTGTTTTCTACAAACGTTGAACATATTAAGATTAATTATGTACCGCAAGTCACCATTACTTAGTCCATCCAAATAAGTATTTTACGTGAATTTAAAAGTAGACCATTTTAAAAGCACTATAATATAGTGTTATGTACATAATTATGTTTCCATTCATTAAATAGGCAATAAAAACACTTTCCACCATAAACCTTGGTCGCTACTCGTCTAACTTTAGTCTATCATCACAGCCTAGAATTTGGGTTTCACTTTGATGATAGCCGCTAAAGCCTGCTTAAAGGTTATCGGGGTGGTTAAATCTTAAAAGCCCAAATTGAATGTCGCAGTTTTCACCAAAATTGATAAACAGCACGCCATTCTCCAATTCCTTTTACGTGCCCACCAATTTTAACAATCGTAGCAACTAAAGCACTGTTTTCTGCTTTATTCGGAATAACGATGCCACTTTTAAACCATTTTCCTGATTCCTGCTTTCCGGTGTTAAAAAGCCCTTTGGTTTTAGCCGTTCTGACTGGAATTAGTTCAAGGTTGCTTATTTGCCTGATGGCAAAGGTACAGCACTTTAAGCAACCCTTGAAGTTACTATTATTTGGAAATTGCGATGCACTAATTCGGATTCTTCATCTGATTTATAACGCCAAAACACTATCAAACATATCATTTATTTTCCTAGGTATATTGTCTTGTTGATTTTTGAAACCTGACTTAGTTTTATGATTAAAATTTTTATTTGGAATCGATGATACCAATATCTTTCACCTCTGCGACTTAAGATTTTAAAGTCACAGAAAGTGTGGGTCATACAACTTAAATATTTTTTCCAAAAAGTGTGTAAATGGCTTTGTCGTGATGATTAGTCAGCACACTTTATACTTAAACAGCGCCTTTGAGGTTTGTTTGAATGTCACTTCCGACTGCTGGCATCCCAAATTTCAAAGACCATATTTAGCTAATTGTTCAATAAGCCGCACTAAAAATACCAATTAATCATTACTTTCTTGTAATAATCAAACATAGCGTACCAATATTTTTTTGCGATGATACTTCTCACTAGAGTAGGAGTATGGCAAAACGTAACAAAACAGCATTCATCATTTTTTATGCGGTAATAAAAGAGTATCTTATTACGGAGGAGTACGGGTTAAAAATGATCTACCGGCAATGCTACCCGAGATTTAGCTTGGATTAACTAATGTGTTCCATCAGGAATTAAAACACCTCGTTTTATAGCAGGGATTAATGCTGTGGACTCGACAAATCAGTTGAGGTTTCATAAAGTTTTAATGTGAACGGTGATAAAATACCTGACCATAAGAACCATTATAACGAGCTGACCGTTAACATTTTTTGAGTTCCAGAGGGTCATGAAAAGAAACACTGTCCACAGTGCCGTCTCGACTAAGATCGCCGCAAGATTTCCAACATGTGCTCAAATGCACGATTTTTAAGTCGGGTGATGATGGCCCTACTTTGATCCGCCTAAGTTACCACCCATTGTGCCTGAGGCCAAAGGAATGTCAGGGGAAGACAGGCGCCATCATTGACCCCCCGCCAGCAATGATTATGGGGTGTTCGTGAGTTTATTTAATCCTCACGTAAACCATCCACACACATCTATTGGCCGTCTGTGTGCAAAATAAACAGCCGTGTGGCAGCACATATCTTCTCTTTGCTCTCATGTCCTGCAGTTCATAAATTAGCAGATTTAGTGCCAACATAACAACCACTTTATAATCATTGACGATTGGCTATTTGTGGGAGACACGAATACCAATCATATTCAGACAAACCTGATCTGTTATCAATTTGGCGCAATCGTAACGTCTACCAAAAGGTTCTTCTATTGAAAATAAAGTGAACCATGAAAATGAAATCATTTATTAGGGAATATATTCCCAGTTAAAATTGGTTTAATATAATGCAGCATCAAAAACTATATTTGTTTGCAAATCCTGTCCAAAATGCACTAAAAATGGATACATCTTTCGCGTCAACAGGATGCTTAAGTAGAGAATGAAATTTTCTGTTAGAATGAGACACGTTAGTTACCTCGAAGGATGTGAAGGATCTTTCGCAGATAATTAGAAAATCAGGACAAAATTTTGTTTTGACGAATACGATATCGGTGACAGTTTAGAGACGTCGTCTAGCAAATTCGAACTCCACGCAAAGTCGCATCACGAGAGCGTGTCCATAGCACTCTTAAGGTGATTAGATCGCTCCCCTGAAAGACTAATTCTTACGAGCTCTGTTTTCCAAATTATTGTTCATGCCCTCGTCGTTGTACACCCTCCACAAAAAGTAGATAATCAAGGATAGGCTGACCTTTTATTTATTAATAATTAGAAGCTTTACTTTTATCAGGAAATCCAGTAAGGTGCTAAATTATAATATTTTGCAATCGTTATGGTCATTAATCTCAAAGCATTCATAATTCATTCTGTCTAGTTTTCTTAAGCTCTAGTACTATGCAAGTGCAGAGGTGAATGTGGGTTTAAAGTCTAATAATTCTTGGCAGTTTCACATTTTTCTGTTGTATTATGATAATCTCTGATTTATTCATTAGCTCTTGTTGCAACTTGAGGCTATGAGTAAACCCAGTGAACTGACATATGTAATTGGCATGTCTGAAAATGATGAGATAGCATCAAAGCATAAGAGATGGCATATCAGGATTAAAGCTAAATTACTTAAAAGCAGTAGGTATGAACGTGAAAAAAGCTAACACCAACAGATCTGCCATTCAATCATACCATGAATTGTGGTAAATTCCTTATCATTAAGGGGACATTTACAACGGCTAAATTATATCTAGTTTCCATTTACATCCTTATGAGTTTCGTTTTCTCGTGGAAAATTATATCACTACGAACTTGTCACAAATTCCAACAACAAATAAACTCCTGAGGTACTATAAGTTTACAACCATTTTTTGACCGTTTGTTCGAGAGAATTATAAAGAAAAGTTACATCTTGACCATCCCATTGGCTGAATACAAGCCATCGGTAAAATAATCGATGTATTCTACCAGCATTTTATTAACTTAAGTAATTTGTTTTGTTTTGTGTTTATTGACGTGGTTGGAGAAATATTATGTAATAGAAGAACATTGAGCATTCAGTGATGAGAAACCTTTAAAAAAACACTAGTAAGAATATTGACATTGATTTTATGACTTTCCAACATCAATTTTACTTGACTTCTGTCACATTTTCTTGTAACGACCTAATCAAAATAGTGGTCAGTACCAGAGTTTTCCGGCAAAGGACTCAAATATTTTATATTTAACATTCAATTCGTGAAATGGAGGCAATAGCTTACGTGCTCTTACATCTGCGCTGCACTTTCCAGTGACTGATGTTATCCATCATATAGCTCACAATGATTTTAGCTTTAAAATTATAGCACAACAATTAGAAGAGTTAAGTTTACATTAATTTAGTAGTTTAGTTATTCTATTTCCTAAAACTGCAAAGTTTCTCCTATTATATACATAAAACACCACACAGCTTTTAGCTCAGACTATTGTTCTCGGCTCTTGGTTGCATATCATTAAAATTTGGGGATAAGGCGCACTGGCATTAGTTCACTTCGATCTAATTTCCCGAAACGCATAATTTATCGCTGTGAGGGGTTTGGATACACCACTTTAACATTTTTTAGACTTAAAGAACAAATTGCTTTAAATCATTTACACTAATTGCAAGTCCTTTTCGCATACCATGACTCTAAGCACAAATTTTATATGGTTATTTTGAACCTTGCTTTAGTTTTATGATGCTCTGCTTATCTTTCTTCTCAATTGCATATTTTTTATGGGAGATTACCTCGGACTTGAACATCGAAATGGTATCTAATATTGGAAACCTTACACAAAACAAGATCATGAATGTGCTTAGCAACCATAGAAATTCTAACTTGCAAAGAGAAAATCTAAAATTTAACAGAAATAGCTCAAACCGTGAATACAGGACGGCTAGTTCATCAAGCATTGCTTACAACGTATGCATTTAAGAAGTGGTGGCTAATTTGCAAGCCAGGAAAAAGGGTACCTAAAAATCGTGCGTGACATTAAAATTTCAACATCGGTTAAGGTCACCTAGGTGATAACTTCAGTAGCCAACAAAAGTAAATGTCATATTTCTCTTATTTCAACTTCTGGCCTTATAAATTTAAAAATGACAACGTTTA